TCCATCCGCTTAAAAAATGAATAATATTAACGACAGTTACTAATCCTGCCAATTGATCTGAAAACTGATTGATCTATTATTTACTGCACTTTTATTTTACTGCGCTCCGAACATGGCTATCAAATCAAGATGGTTATGAAATCAAAGCTGACGTGAGACCTTTTATGTTCTTTTGAAAGCTACTAAAAAATTCCATCCGCTTAAAAAATGAATAATATTAACGACAGTTACTAATCCTGCCCATTGATCTGAAAGCTGATTGATCTAGAATGAAAGTTTAGCAATCAAATACCTGTGGCTATAGCATGTGATCATGGACGTTTCTAAATTTTCTATTAATCGAATTGAATATTTCGATAATCGTACATTTGATGTTCTTGAAATTTTCATTGCTCATGTACTGATGACAGTGGTTGGTGCTTTAATTTTTATCTGAATAAGCCGATTGTGCTATGTGCACTTTTGAGCAATATTTGCATAATCTTCATCTCTTGATCATAAACCAACCAATCTTTAATTTGTGAACTTGCACTTTCACACACACCATTGCCACCGTATCATAATTTCAAAGAAACGGTGAGCTGTGTTCATGAACCGAAACACGAAGCAAACAAATTTCGCAATATTTTTGTTGAAAGGATCAGCAGAAAGCGTTTCTGGTAGTTTTGAACATTCCGTAACAATACGATCACTGCTTAAGGCACAACAAAAGCAGTTGATAGTTTTGTCTTGTGGATGGAAGAATGTTACCATTGCTCTCCAGGCTAGGTGCCTTCCTGTTTCAACGTAAGAAGCGTGATTCTGTTGTTTTCATTCGCTCATGACTTTCATCTCACGATGTCATTTATTAACAATTATGTGATTTAGTAATTAAGGGTACTGCGAAGTATATGCTCGATATTCAGCAAAGTTACTCAATGCTCCTTCGCTGGCAGGAAATCGCTAATCATAGTATCATATTCCACGATTTTATTCTGAATATCCATGTCAAATAATATTTGCTTCAACGAATTTGTTGATGCAACGTTGAGAAAAAAAGTTCGTGATTTCGATGGCAAGATGTTTGCAATTCAGTCATTGATTCGAAAACAATAATGCTTTATATAGTGATGCTCATAGTGCTGAAGCTTGAAGTTTATCACTAATAGCAAACAAGCCAGTGTCATACAACAATAAGGATCACATCTGAAAGAGAGTGAGATAACAGAAAGCAGTTCCATCAACGTAGTGTTATTCAGAGGAATAAACCAAAAGTTTGTTCGCACTGATCAAGTGCATGTGCCCTTACACATCTACTGATGATCGCATTTAAGCACTTTCACCTCTTCAAAATTCTCCCACTTCTTTTGCCAAATGGTAACGGTACACAGCTGAAAATGATGAATTATGAAGCATGATGCATCAATAATCTGCAATCGGAACTACTGTCACCAAACTGTTATGAACTAAAATCAACCGAGATCTATGTATTCTGTACATAATAATGAGCAGAATTCAGCCGTTCTAAATATTGCCTATGGATTATACCTGACACAGTTCAATCATTTCATTACAATCGATGTTCGTGACTTTTTGAGAAAAATAAGATGTGCATGAAAGAAGAAACCGGTTAATGGGCATAAGGCATTCTATCACATGTTCATTTACTGCTATCAGTTCTGTTCGCTACGCACCCAGTTGACAGTCAATTGTGGATTTCGGCGTTTGTGATGTGCAACGGGAAAATTAGGGCTAGCAAAATCGAAAAAGAAATCTTTCATGAAAGTATTGTTGCATCCCATCAGCGAATGGATCACTTACGTCTTGATGATCTCCATCTTTCACGAGAATTTCAAGAGTGTATTTGTCACCAGCCACAACTTGTTTTTTTGCAGACACCACTTTGACGAGTTCATGTGGCTTACCATCATTTATCATCGCACTGATTTTTGCGATAGACTTACCAGCGAGCTCCTGAAGCAAATAGTATCATTGTCATTTCACGAACATGCTCCATACTTTCATCCAGTGAATAACAACAGGGACCTATTGAAGGTGATCCATTCTTCATGCTTTACTTCGCAATAATCCAGCACTTAAAGCATTAATTTGTCGCGGTGGTTATGCGTAGGTTCTCAACAAAGTCAATGTCGTAATAATCACGTAACGTTGAGGTTTAAAGTTGAAATAAAAGCATGTCGGTCAACATTTTGACGAGTTTCACAAAATTTGAACCTTCGCTTTCTTGATTTTTTGGTTACCTTGATCTCCGGATCATTAACATCTACGTCCGACGATCCGCCTAGCATCCCTGCTTCCGTTTGCATAAGTATGATGCAGCAAAAGACAACCACCGCTACGACGATTCTGGATTGCATATTTATGAATCTTGCGCTGCAACGATACAATCTATTTGATGTGAGAGTTTCGACAAAAATTGATTTCTTTCTATTGCAATATGAATTTCTCAATATAAGAGGCGATTTCACGGAATCAAATTGAATATATTGTGGAGGACGATACGCAAAAACGTGTTCAACTTGAATAGGCTTATAGCACATTCGGGCAACAGCGGAGCAGATATTTTTTGAATTGCATTGTAGAAAAATGCTGAGGATGATCGACAACGACAAGCGGAAAACGGTAACAATGTTTTCAGAACTTATCGTCGCTTCAGCACTGCTTCAGCTTCAACCTATCGAGCGAGCGTTGCAGCCGTTAACGGTAGTCAGACAACACTGAGACTGATTCCAAGCAAAAACGTGTTTTTCATTGTTGCTCTAGTCGGCAGTGCTAAGCAGACACTGACTAGTTATTTTTTGGGTTGTTCGATCATTTGAATGATGATTTGAAAAGGCAAATTGTTTTTGTCATCAAAAATCCTTACATCTGTTTCGTTAGTGACAATTCATTTTATTCATTGCAATGAGGAAATAGTGACGGTTCAATTTTGCTAACTGAAAAAGTTACATTCGTTTCGATGAGACATGAGACATCAGTGTGAGAAGTTGTATTACCCGTTACTAGCCGCAATGCAGCAGGAATTTCGGATCGTACTTCAATCGGCTCTGCTGCTGCAAATCTTAGACTACTCATCCGTCTGGAACTAGGAATCATCTGAAGAATGCACTGAGGGTTGAATACAGAGTAAAATATGCGCTAACGTAGCGAAGAATCACGGAGAACAGTGATGGAAATGACATGTATAATTATGGGCAATGAACTAATGCTTGATTATTTTACGCTATATATAACAAAATAATTGAGCACGCCTTCCGTTTACAAACTCAACAAAGGCCAAAAAACATCGCCCATTGCCTGAATAACCCCTACAAATTGTTTGCCGGCTGATCATGCAACTGTGACTGTTGTGTGTTCGGTAATCGTCGATGAACGATAACAACCACAAAATGTACTGCAAACCTGCTTTTTAACAACCTCAGCGAATGAAATTTTTAGTCGTATTGCACATTCAGCCTGTATGACTATTCGCTGAGTCAGGAACGCACTAAACTATATGACAAAATAATTGAGCACGCCTTCCGTTTGCAAAGTCAACAAAGGTCAAAAAAAGATCGTCCATTCCCTGAATTACCCATGTTTGTCGACTGATCATGCAACTGTGACTGTTGTGTGTTCGGTAATCGTCGATGAACCACAACAACCACAAAATGAACTGCAAACCTGCTTTTTAACAACCTCAGCGAATGCAACTGTTCGTCGTATTGCACATTCAGCCTGTATGACTGTTTCCTGAGTCATGTACGAACTAAGCTAGCAGGTAATCAAATTGCTAAACGTTACGTTGCATGTTGCTGCATTGTTTACCACCCGCACGGTAATAAAAAGTTTATTCATGGCATATCATCGAGATATCAACTGGCTCAAAACAGATTAACCACTATAATTCTGCATCGATGTACTAAAGTAATTGAATGCAATATGGCTGATGATCTCTTGCGTGCACTTCTTGTAAGAATTGACGAGCGCAGAATATCATTAATGCATTCGATGAGACATATGAACGATCCTGATTACATTCTGAAGGGAACAGATTAGACATGGACTATGAGATCGTAAAAGAAATTATTATGGAACTAGCAGTGAATTTATCTTCGAGTTTGCTCGGTGCGGGCAGGAAAATGATGGTGAGCCAATGTACAACTTATCGATGACAACTGATTCAAGCAAGCACGCAAATGAACGTGATATTGAGTTCTCAAAGCAAACAGAGTTGTTGAGATGAATTCCCAAGATTCGGTAAGCTGTGGAAAAAGTAATTACGCGAAGAGCAAAGTGATCTCTGAAAACCATTTGCTCGAAGTGGCTAAGGAAAAGGCGGCGAATAGGCAAAAATTATCCGACACGATTAAAACCATCCCACAGACAAATGTCGGAAATGGACGACTCTTCTCCGCATTTTCTTTTTTTTCGTATAAAACTGAATAATCGGTTGAAGGTTGCATGAATCAACGCTCTGACTCTTCCGGAAGTTTATTTCGAGTCTCATATAATTTTTTTGAATGTGTTGTTGCTGTGTCAGTCGTAAGTCTACTTTTTTCGTCACAAAGGTTATTCACTTCATTACACTTTTGTTTCAATTGCTTTGTTTTATTGAATTTGTTGAGGTTTGCTGGTTGATTTGCTGAATAAACTGTTTCCTGATTAATCATGAACACATTGGTTCAAAAAGAATGTGTTGAACATGTCATACATCCATATTTCAAAAGTTGCTTTTCAATCCCGGCAACGTCCTGGGATCGAAAAACGATCCTGGGATCAAATCTCGAATCGTGGATTGAGCGAATGGTCGGGATTTTGCAAACTCGAGTAAAAACTGAAATGTCACGATATTGTATTTGGATTGTTAGGCACTTCAGTTATTTTTCCCAGTGTTTTTTTGGTTAATCCGGGGAAGAATTTTAGGTGAGAATCACCTTCCAGTATCATCACCAGCGATTCTTTTTAGCAGAATCAACCGTATCATTGGACAATTGAAGTGAACATTATTTTTTCTCAGATTTTAGTGACCTTTTTTTGCAACATGTGCTAGCGTGTCACTCATATGAACGAAATATATCACTCATTATGCCGTGTCACAATATCTGAAACTTTCCACGAATACGACCTAATAACAAATAAAGTCTATGGATATATTGACACGCTCAAAGCGTCGCTTCCTCAGTAATGTATTCATCCATATGTTTGTTCACCAAAATTCATTGGAACTGGGAAAACATTCCTAGTATTTCAGTATTGCGAACTTTTTAAACATCCTGCTCAATAGAATTTCTGCACGCACCCGGCGACAGTACCTCATCACGTGAAGTCCTCGCTTTCTGATGATCGGTTTGAATCATTACCTTGATTCAAGCTGTCAAATTGAGGCTCTTACCGCTTACATACGATCGGATAAATTACTCAGTGGCAACGACAAAGTGTTCATTGAGAGAAAGCAACTCAAATTTATTTTTTAATGGTATGCAGTTGAACTCAGCATTTTTTATTGGTGTTTGTAATGAGGTCCAGGAGATATTTTCAATTTACAATTGATCATATAGTCGACGAGAACACTTTGTTGGATAATTGCTGAGCGAACTGGATTTGATGATGAATTGAATCGTAAAATATGAATTACGATTTTGGATGATCGCTTGAATAACTGTTAATGTTCACGTATCGAATATAAGTGCGCCCTTTCAACATTACTCTATGTGCTTTCATTAATACTGCCATGTTTGACTCCTACAATGCGAACAGTTTTTGCGTTCCAAATTTTCTGGTTTGCGTTGCTATAAGTTTTTGCAACTGAAACTTTTCAGTACAACTCGAAGCTTTTTTATCCGCTATTTCACTTCAATGTCTTGCTTCGGTTCCAATTTAGTCACGAATTTGATCGCGAAATGGATCATAATATTCCCCCATTTCTCAGTCACTCCCCATTGCTCAGTCCAGTTCTTTTTTCGCCTTTTGAGTG